GCAGGGGGATTTGAGATGGTGAGCTTCATTGCTGTTGTTTGGCTTCGTGTTCGTGGTCGTGCCACATCTTTATGGTGGGTGTCAGTTTGCTTCATGTATGGATTGGAGGGGTTTAAAGTGGCTAATGATGCAGCTGTGGACTGGCTTCTAGTTTGTGGTCGTGCCTCATCATCTGTGTGGGTTTGGGTTTGCTTTTTGCTTGGAAGTGTGGTGGTGACCTCCTGTGTGGTTTTCGTGAGTGTGGGTCTGGTGTCATTCTTTGTGTTAGGGACTCGTTTACCAATAAGGGCGGGTTTCCAAATGGCTGGTAGGCGGGAGGTATCATCTTGTTTGTTCATGCTGTGTGGGCGTTTTTCTATCTCGATGGCTTCTCTTGTGTTGAAGAACACAAGAACTCAGTCAGAAAAGAGGAATCAACTTCTTCCCTGGTCCAACACCTTAAAGCCACAGGACATAAAATTGACTTTAAAAAGACCAGAACTATTGCCAAAACTTAACACTTTAACAACAGTATAATCAGAGAAGCCATCGAGATAGAAAAAGCCATCGAGATATATAAAGAAACTGACAAAACTGATCAAAATTGTATCATGTTCTAATAGTACAATCCTGGATGGCTCTAAAAAGAAGATAATTGCACAAGTAGAATGTGTAAAATAGCTAAAAGTTCACATAGATTGGAAGAAAATTGTGTCAATTAATTATATAATCTTATTGTTATTATTTTGATCTATATTCCTGGCCCCATTCTGGCTCTGGAGTAAAACCCCAGACACAGCATTTAAATTCTACTGTGGCTCTCAGCCTAATCTAAGTTGCATCTCTTGATTCCGTGGCTTAATGTGATGTGCAAATACAGCCCTTGCATGTTTCCTAGCTATTGATGGAAACAGATGGGACTAAGTGTACTCTTAGATCTATTTCAAGATTGCTCATGCATTTAATCACCTTACAGATAACACCCTGCCCCATTCATCCATTGTCAGGAAAAAAAAACTCTAGATGGTACCTCGTGATTTGTTATTGATCCGTTTGCGTTGACTGCTAGATGTATGAGACAACAGTGTTGCCTGTTGATGGTTAGAGTCCACAGGACTGGTGGCAATGATATTATCCTTGTACTTGCTCATCAAGGAGAGCTTGGCATTGTCACTTCCTAACAAGAAAAAATTAAGATAAAACTTTGAGAAAAGGAGGCAAAAAGGGGAAGGGAAAAAGAATAGGAATAATAATAAGGAAAAAAATCATTTCCAGCTATCCAAGCATTAAATTTGGAACATCTTTAGATGTGGACCAGCTGGCAATAGAAGTTAAATCCTTCTACTGTAACCAACCATCTGTATGTTCAGAGCAGGCTTGCAGTTTTCTCCCAATATCTTTACATCCCAACAATAAATGCATTCAAAAGGATTATCTTAAAGTAAGAACTAAGCCTAGACAAAAGTTCCCATGGGAACAGCTTTGCAAAAGTTGAATCAAATTGTTATGAATGCTCCTGCTGAAATTTTTCACATTCAAGAGGAAAAGCAGTGACATTCATGGTCACCATCACCACTGATGGTCTTGTATTATTAGAGATTTTTTTTTAAAAAAAAACTGGGAATGAGAGGGTAGAGGGACAGAGAGAAACCAAATCAAAACCATAAAATTTATGGCGGAGGGAAGAGGGAGTTAACCTTCTACCTCACCTAGAGGTTCAAGGCATAAGGGCTATGCAGCACATCAATCTGGATCTCTAGAAGTAGCTTCAGAGGAAATGGGAGCACAAATCCGGAATGGGACAAGTTGCCACAGCCAACTCGCCATGGCCAACTCACCATGGCCAATTTGCCACAGCGGGACAACTCGCCATGGCCAACTCGCCACGGGACAACTTGCTGTGGGACAATTAAACAATTCAATTTAATTATTTTTTAAAAAATATATATTTTTGTCATTCACATTTCATTCTGTCCCTCCTTTTTCATCCTTTCTTTAATGATTCCATTCCACCATTTCTTTGATATTAGTCTAACCTTTATCCCACAGCGAATTGTCCAGTGACGAGTTGGCCGTGGCGAGTTGACCGTGGTGAGTTGATTGTGGTGAGTTGGCCATGGCAAGTTGGCCACTGCAAATTGTCTTAGACCCGTAGAAATCTGGCAGACTTAAAGCAAGTGCTACATTCATACTTCTGCATCCTGTGAAGCACATACATGCATATAAACACTTGCTGAAGCCAATGAGAGTTTTCTTCTCACTGCCAATAACAAGCACATGAAATCTCCACTTACCTCAAGTGTTCCCATGTCAGTTTTAACACAGAAAAAAAGAAACAATTGCACAACAACAAACAGCTTGAATATGATTATATTGAGATAAAAGCTAATGCAGAAATTTGTTTTTCTGACTATCTTCTATCAACTATCTTTGACTTTTGGATATTGCTTGAAACACAAAAGCTGATAAAAGTAAGTAATCTTGCCTGGTTTACAGAAAGCCTGACCCAATTTTCTGTTTACCACACTGAAAATATGGCTAAATATTCCACAAAGAAAACTTTAAGTACTTTCATGTTCTTTGTTAACAGTCAAAATTCATGATTTGACCTACTATCTCCACTTTGTCCTTGAAGCATACGCCTCCTATTGCTTTATTACAGTTAATGCTATTCTAAGTCACCTTCCACTGGGACGCCAGATAATCTGGCAGTCCAAAATTATGTAGCCAGAAATTAGCCATGCTAGGGACAATAGGAAAGTGATGGATTATATGACTGAAAACAAAATACCAGCATTTCATTTTGAGAAATTAGGTCAATATGCAGTGTATTAAAGGCACCAAAATGTAATGATCTAAACATATGCCCAATAACGTATCCAATCACATATACATGTAGGTCAACATATAGATGCTGACTACAACTAAGTCCCACCTGGTGTTAGATCCAAGCTCGATTTCTCATTACAGCCCTGTAGTGAGTCCAGTGTTCTGGTCACCTGGCTGGCAAAGTCCTCACCCCCATTCATGCATTCTCGTTGTAAGTGGTGGCGCAGGTCAGTAATATCATATTCATAACCATCTAGGATTGGGGTCTCTCGGATGCTCAGAGTTCCACTGGAGTTGTGACCTTGCACCCGGGCATTCCGCAGACTCTCACGACCATGGCCACCAATCAGCACTGAGGGGATGTAGTGAATTTCATTGGCTGCTTCAGCACTGGCACTCTTCTGGGGTTGAGGTACTCGACGGCGCTTGCACCAACGCCTGCGTGTGTAGAGAATCATAACCAGGCACAAGATGGAAAGCAACAAGGCAATCATCCCTCCCTGTGAAAACCAAAATGAAACAACCTCAAGATCAGGCAGGATCAATTATAATTAGCACACTTGTATATTTACATTGTATCACTTGATATTAGATTCAGAATTCCCCATTTTAGAAAATAAGATTCCATCCTCAAGGTTTGTGGGAAAATAATAGAATTAATTAAGGAAACAATCACAATTAGCTAACCTGAAGGGCATTACTGAAATGAATGGGACCTGTGCAGTTGTGCATTTCTCATTGATTTGTAATAGGTCAGCTACTGGAAGGCTTTCAGTTGAATTTTATGAACCATGGTGGCACAGTGGTTAGAATGCAGTATTGCAGGCTAATTCTGCTGGCTGCCACCTGCCTGCAGTTCGGTAGTTCAATTCTCACTGGCTCAAGGTTGTCTCAGCGTTCCATCCTTCCGAGGTTGGTAAAATGAGGACCCAGATTTTGGGGGGCAATATGCTGACTCTATAAACCACTTAGAGAGGGCTGTAAAGCACCGTGAAGTGGTATATAAGTCTAAGTGCTATTGCTATATTAATCCAATGCTTTCCATGCTACATGAAACAATGACTTCATAAATTAATTTTCAGAATAGTAATTTTGCCCTTGGCAACAGCAATATAAGTTAAACTTCAGTAGTTTGAAGCAGCCTTTACAAAAGCCTTATTATTGATGATGCCAAGTCTTTAAACATTGTATTTATAGATAATGGTAAACAAAATTATTGCAACTTTAAAGAGTCAAATACCTCTTCAGTGCTTCTCCTTTAAGAATTTTCTTGTATATTTAACCAACTCTGTAAATGTGCCAGGGAATGACTAGTATGGCGTTGTGGGTGAATGAACACTGGCCATGTCACCAGCTAATGGAGATGTGCAATGTAGTTTCTCAGGAGATTAAGTTGTGGTTTCCATTTACAGTAGAGCCTGCATTGAGCAGACAGCTGGACTATAGGATTTCATAGATTTTTTCCAAACTATATTGTTCCTTTTACAGATGAAGAATGAGTTGAAAACAGAGAAGGAAAGATTGCTCCTGTTTAATTCTTTTCTCTCCAATGTATTTGCCTGCTTCTTCAATATCTTCTCCTCTCAGGTAAGTTTTCAAGTGGAAATAATCAAATTGGGGTTGAGAACTAACCAGAATCTCAGTCTTATACTTCAGGTGTGAAACAAAGTCAAAGCTTGAGGGCCAAAATGCATATTACTTTAAAGACCCATCTGGCAGCTTTATTTTTTTTTAAAAAAAAACAACAGTCTAAAACCAGCATAAGGAATCCAAACTAGGTTGGGATTTTAACAAGAATGTTAAAGTATAGAACTATAGGTTTTACTGTGATTCCGGTAATTTATTTATTTTTTGGGGGGGGAAGAACAATTTATATTATTTATTTATTTTTACTGAAATAAAATAATCATTTTTTGATAATATAAATTCAATGTATACAAATTCAAATTCAATGTATCCAGTCTGGATTGGAAACCTAGCAAATGATAAACAATTAAAACTTCAACTCCCAATCTGGACTGGGTCCTCTGAACTTATTTTATAATTTAAAAGAGAAAAAAAATGATGTAGTTGCTAAGAATATCTTCAATGTAAAGTTTTAGTCTCCAGTCTATTGAGCCTTTTAACCAAAACCAATCAATTAACAGCATCATGTCTATTCTTGGTCATGGTCTGTCTTTCTATCTTCCTTTATATGTAATGGATTGTTGTAATAAAATAAAATAACCATCACCTGCTTCACTAGGAAAAAGAAATAAATGAGAATTACTAAATAGACAACAGAGCAATGGCTGGCAAAGAGCGTGATAATAGCTGTTACACTTCAATCCCCTTTTGTTTTTGGCCTAATGAAAATGTTCATACCTTTCCTTAAGGGAAAAATACTTGCAAATTAAATTGAGAAGCAAACATTTAAGACAGCCCTAAGTGTTTTTGTCAGATACAACTCTTGGGTTAGTTCTTATAATTCTATTAGATGCAAATTTAAGCCCAAAGCCTCTCATATTTACTAAAATAATGCAAATATCTATGCATTTAATAGAAAAAAAACCAAAACTTATAAAACAAAATAGAATTTTGAATGACATTTGCCCCTTGAATTTTCTGGAGTTTCCAATAAAAAAATTAGAATATTCTGTAATACAACCTTCTGTGCTTTTATACGCTCTAGGGAAGCTGTAAGCAATTTAACTAGAATTTGAAGCAGTTTTACATAAGGCATTTTCCTTAAAAATGAATATCAGTTTAATACAATAAATTAATATTATTGTAAATTTCACTATATCTCAAAGGCTATCACTAGATATTCCCACAAATATTTGGAGGTTTCACAAAACAGTCATCATGGACTATGTGAACAGAGGGGTACCTCACATGAAAAATGAGATCAGAATAGAAATAAATTCACTAGTTATTATATTTGTTGCACAGTTTAAGTTTTCAGAAATCTGTTGGAACCCATCTTGAGTATTTGCCAAAACAGAAAGGTGAATTTAACATCAAATGAATAAAATAATTTAAAGGGCATTGAAAAAAAACCCTGATTCTACTAAAACATTTCTAGAGAAGAATGCAAATGTTCTCTCCATTGCTGTTGAAAAGTAAACAAAATCAGAATTTTAAGGGCATGTTTCAAAATCAGTATTTTAAAAATCCTGAATTGTTTTATGCACTGTCAACAATATTATGCTATGCTGGGGAGCTATATCAAAGTCACGAGGATGGTATGAAAGCCTGTCACTATATCAAGTAACTCAGTGCTTGCTTTACTTAAGACTAGAAAATATTATGGAAGGAAAACTGAAGATTGCAGTTTTCAAATTGCATATCATAACATCCTCTCACTGACAACTTAAGGATCTCCAAGAGTAGTTTGTTTATTTATGAGACTTGTAAGCTGCCCCAATCTGTTCTAACTCTGGAAAGCTTAAAGAATACAGTCAATAGAAAAACAAAACAACCAATGAATGAAAAACAAAGAACTAGGTCATCAAGGGAAAAAGTCTGAAAATAACCAATCAAAATATCATGCATGAGCTCCAATTTCCACTCTGATGCAAGGCCTGGAGACAGAGCGAGATTCTAAGGCAGTGGTTCTCAACCTTTTTAATGCCGCGACCCCAACCGGTCGTAAGTCGAGGACTAAACCGGTCGTAAGTCGAGGACTAAACCGGTCGTAAGTCGAGGACTTTCCCTGCCCGGGAGCGTCGCGCATGCGTGGTTCCGCCCCCTGCGCCGGCCGAGGCGTAGCTAGCAAGCGGCAGAGATGGAGCAGGCCGACCACCAGCTGGCCCAGCTCAAGGGAGGTAAAGCACCCGCCGGAAAAGGGGGAAAAATGGCAGACAGCCTTGCTTGGCGACCCCCGTGAAATGGTCGATTGACCCCAAATGGGGTCGCGACCCATAGGTTGAGAACCGCTGTTCTAAGGGTTTGTTTAAATAAGGCTGTAGAGGCAACCAAATGAATCACAGGAGAATGATGCTCCAGTGGCTGGTCCCATGACAAAGATTAAGTACCGTATATACTCGAGTATAAGCCAAGTTTTTCAGCACATTTTTTGTGCTGAAAAATGCCCCCCTCGGCTTATACTCGAGTCAGCTCCGGGTAAAACCGCCCCAGCGTTTCTTCCTCGGATTCAGCGCTAAGAAACGGGCCGCTTTGTCGCCCATCCGAAAATCGAAAGGAGCCGAAGCTGCGAGGAGAGCCTGTGGCGCAAGCAGCCCAAGGCGCCCCTCCCCGTTTCCTCTACTCTTGCCAAGCAGGCAGGCCTTCCCCCCATCCAAAGATCGGCCGGGTGGGGTCGGGCGGCGGCGGCGCTGCTTCCTTCACCGGGGGGCTTTTCGGGGAGTGCTTGAACAGCGGCTGAGGAGCAGCGGGGTGATGTGGAGCCGGGGCTTGGACGGCCAAAGCAGCGCCGTTTCTCCCCGGGGTCCAAAAGGTGAGGCACCGGCTTTAGAGTGGAAAGAGGGAAGCCTCGAATGCATGGACTTGCGTCCACACGTGCCTGCGCCAACCGATCAAAAGCTCGGCTTGGGCTGCACCCTTTCTCCTCTGAGCTTTAGGGAGCATAAGGTTTGGTAGGCTTGCTTAGGAGCCGCCGTTAGCTTGTGCTAATATTAAAGTGGGGCACGTTTTGCTTCTCCACGTTTGGGAACGTGGGAAGTGAGGAGAGTCGCACAAATTAGTGCTGTGTGTAAACCCAAACCATGTGATTAGTGGTCAAATGGGTTGTATGAAAATTGGGTTGAGTACAGTAAACCATGACTGAATTAACTATAATCTTATATCATCCTTGGGTATCTGTCAGTTCTGTAACACGGGGGCTTGAGGCACGGAGGCACGGGATGCGGAGCGGCACCGTGGGAGGCGGCAGGACAGGGGGGAGAGGTTACCTGCATCCTGCCAGCCGACCTCTGGAAGCCTGCCTGAATGAAGAATTTTAGGGGGTGTGGAAAGGGAGACAGACTGAGGGCTGTATTAAGACCATAAATGGCTGCTTAAGGAGACTGGAAGGGAGGAGAATTCGGGGTGGAGCAGATAACACGGGGGGGGGGGGAAAGGCATTAGGAAATAAGCAAAAGGGCTGTCAATATCATGGGCTGATCTATGCAAGACGGTGCATTGTACATAGAGACTGTGTGTGTGTGTGTGTGTGTGTGTGTGTGTGTCCTATGTGCTCTGCATGCAAACATCACCCATCAAAGGTAGAAGTCACTGGCTTTTTGCTGGAATCCTGAGTCCCTGNGGGGGGGGGGGGGGGAAGGCATTAGGAAATAAGCAAAAGGGCTGTCAATATCATGGGCTGATCTATGCAAGACGGTGCATTGTACATAGAGACTGTGTGTGTGTGTGTGTGTGTGTGTGTGTGTGTCCTATGTGCTCTGCATGCAAACATCACCCATCAAAGGTAGAAGTCACTGGCTTTTTGCTGGAATCCTGAGTCCCTGCACAGAGATTTGTTTCCCTCCCCAGTAAGGAATCGCGAATATTGATTCTCTTT